TCATGCCAGTTTATCAGATGGGCTAGGGACCAATGTGGAATAACATCAGAATACAGACTTTTGTTACACTTGCACTCTAGAGAAAATTATTGTCTTGCCTAGTTGCAAATTTTCTTGTATTCTTGAAATGTTGGTTACATTTCAGGGAAAGATGAAACTTAGAAAATAAGTAAACATTTATCTGGGTTTTAGTGCAGTTAAAGCAAACTTTCTCAATCTAATATCATGGGCAATAGACAATATTATTGAATGTGGCTGTTTGAATTTGTAGTTCGCAGTTGTCTTGGTCTTGCCATATACAATTGTCATCATTAATATCAGCAGTATTGTAGTACTTAGATATTTTTGGGACCTGAGCTGCACTAATGACAACAATTTAGATTGGGCTTACCTGTAGAGAATGATCGGGCATACATGCAGCTATTAAACGGCTGACACAACATTTCTGCTAACAGAATAGGCTGACCTCCAATCTGTGGGAACATGTGGGTCATTCAAGTATACCCATTACATGGTAAAATTTTTATTATATCATCTTCATTATTACCAATAATAATTAGATGTGAGGAAGGTGTTCCTTGTCTTCCCTTGGAGAGTGAGAGTACATGTAATGTTTAAAAGGTGATACATGCATATAGTACTAATATTCATCAGTTATTCATTGTTTTGTGAGAATGTTATCATCATTAAATACCATCACTTGTATCTGCTAACACAGGGATAACCCAGATTAGCTTGGAAAGACTCTTCGAGGCGAGGAGTATCCAAGGGCAGAAAGCAAAGGAGGCAGGAACAAAAAATACAAATCAAATGAGTTAAAATAAAATATTAAAAAAACCCAGCCTATTGGAGCTTCAAGCTCTTATCACCAATAACTAAGGCATATAAAAGTTCAGCCTTTTTAGAATAGAAAAAACATTGCACAAAAGCTGGGAAACTACCAGACGATTGTGGGGGGAGGAAGGGGGGGGCATGGCAATCCATGGAATCCCAGAGGATAGACTGAGATTCAAGGAGGACTGGCTTTGGCTCCAAAGCTTGAGGCTTCCCACTCTTGTACTAGATCAGCATGTTGGTTCACGCAAAGGGATGAAACCGATGAGCAGTGCAAGTCCTTTGCCAACCGATTTATGCTACAAAGCACTGGAATTGCTTTCCGAAATAGAGATTAGTAAATGCAACATGTGAAGTAAAACCTACTTGGTACTGTCCCCACCCCGTAAAAGAAACATAGGACATAAGAGTATCAGGTAGGGCGAGGGGAACGTCTACTCGCAGGCTTTCTCAGCCATGAAGCTTACTGGGTGGCCTTTACAAATCTCTTCCATGGTAGGCTTAATCTATTTGGCAGGGCTTTGAGAACGAAAGTACGCTCCACCCTGTGTAAGGTGGGAGACAAATTAAACAAACACATATTATTTTTTTTCTTTAAACAAGGAAAGTTATTCCCCCAAAGCATCCCAAGGAGCCTTTCTAGAATTATCAAGTTCCTGTTTATGATCATGCCCATTCTGGATGTAGTTCACTACTGTTTTCCCCACCTCTGAGTCATTTTGTAATTTGCAAAGATATCTGGCTACAGTGTCCAAACTGACCTTGGTAATGAAGGGTAAAATTCTATAAAAATAATGCCTATTTCCGATTTAAAATTCATGGGATCATGAATTATTTGCATAGAACCTGTTTTTATACAAGTAGCTGTGCCATGTCAAACAATTTAGACACTCAAGAAGTGCACTCTGATTTATCATGACCTGTTTTTATTGTATCAAGGAGCAAAATACCAGGAGAACTGGCCTTGAATTACACTGAAAGGCTTAAATTACACTAACAGTCTGGGCACACCTGAAATCAACCTCCAAACCTCTTTTCCTCATGACAGGACTAAGCTGTGAAATCTACAAAACAGCATGGCTCAACCAAAGGACAAGCTTGCTCAGTGTCTCTACACATGCACAGAAAGCTTTTAGATTCACACCATGTGTTTGTTCAAATAAGTTCTTAGCCATCTTTAAGATTCCAAATTCAGGTTAGTAATCTTGTATTATATACCAGTATTCTTTTACTTAGGCTTAGTACTCAGAAATGTCAGAAGTTATAGAGAAAGTAAGGCAAAGGTAACATAGCAGAGAATAGTGCTTAAAGGAGCTTTAGAAGAGATAGGTTTTTTTCTTCCTTAGCAGAGAAACAGCTTGACAGATGGGTGCTGTTTTGGGCTCTCACTAAGAGATGCCTCTACCCATGTAGCCTGAAGGCATCTCTTGCTTGTAACTATTCTCTCCCCCACACACACCCAAAGTGGTGGTTCTGGGATTGTTTTGTTTCTCCCATTTGCATGGCAGGTGCAGGCTTCCATATAGTGATTTTTAAACTCCAGCCCCTCCTTCTCTCCTCCTCGTCCTCCTCTCAGGGTGGTAGGCTCTTTCCCCACCCCAAGAGCCTATAATCTCTCCCACCTCTGCTTTCCCAGAAACTTGAGGATTGCACGACCAAGATTCAGTTTTTCTTTTTTTTCTTCTTCTATAGATGTGGCCAAAAGAACAGCTGATTGTGCAAAGAGAAGCAGCAGAAGCCTAAGGAGACAAGCCTGCAAAAAGGGACATTGGGCAGGCAGGCGAAGGTGGGAGTGAGAGAGCACTAATCGCTGAACCAGGAGACAAATACGATTACCAGCTCCGAACCTTGAGTCAGAAAGTCTCATAGACTTTAAGATGTTAATCCTCAAGCTAATCCTTCCTTTGGCGTGTAGGAATAGTGCAGCCACAAGAGTTGTTTTGTTATTTATATTGGCGTTTAATAAAACTCAGGCAGTGGTGAATGGGCTGCCCACTCTCCAATGGTAATTAATTCCCTATTTCAGTGACCCAATTGTGCTGGGATAGAGCAGCGGGACAGTCCCACTGCCCCAACCCGCCTTTGTGCAGCTTACACAGCTCTCGTGCTTCAACAGCTATGGAAACCCATTCTTTTGATGTCATTCAAGGAGTTTTCCTTGGGCATCTTCTAAACTTCAAGGACTCTTTTCTTTTCCCAAATGCATGAAAAGCAGGCCTGGCTTGACCACCTCTGTAGAATTTAATGATTTGTTGAAAGGGCCTTTGGGGGAGTTGGGGGCAGAAGGAGAAGATATAGACAAACACTGATCCAGAGAAAAGAGATAGGGAGGGAAGGAAATCTGACAGGTTCTTACCAAAATAATCTCTCTACTTCAGAGTGCATGGACAGTGATTAAAACACCCATGGAAAATGGTAGAAATCAATAGGGCTTTACTTCCACGTATATTCATGATACAGATGTAAACTGCATTCAGAAGCAGAAAGTAGCTTAAGTAAAAAAAGCTGTAGGGAGTATGTGAAAATGAACACATGAAGATCATGCAGAACCTTCAGCAAAGCTGTCCCAGCACAAATAGCCATTCTATGTCTTTATACACACTTCCAAAGGGGAAAAAATCCCTTAGCAAGTCACAGAAACAATTCAGAATTCAACTAAGAAAATACAGAGTGAACCATATGGCCAGGGTAGCTTGAGTTGGCTGCATTTTCCCTCAGACAAAGAAGGGATTGAGAGTTGAAGGAAAGGAGAAAAAAAACCAACTTTCCGGCTGATGAAGCTGTTGTCTGGAGGCAATGATCCCAAATCTCAAGGCTTTATTCCAAGCTCCGACTGAGACGTGATATGTCATATGATTAGCATCTTTCATATTTACAAGAGAAGTATAGGCTGCCAGCCTTTAGAGAAAGGCGAGAGAAAGAAGGGGCATATGCTGAAATGGATTTAGCATTTGAAAGAGAGAAAAGAGATCGGATAAATACACTTAAACGAGGATTTAGTTTTACTCCTGTTGAGTTCTAATGGATTGTTGATTGAGATTTTAGGGAGCTGGAACAGTGGTGTCACCAGTAATTTGAAAGATGCTATTCAGTCCTTGACTATTTCTTCTTTTTCTCTACATTTTGCTTATTAATAGCTTTAGCAACAGCTTGAGCTAAAATAAATCCTTTAAAAATATGATAGTAAAGCTTGCCTTCACTCTAGAAATGCAGACAGCTTGCAAAGTTTAGATGAAGTTTTATTTTCCTGAACACAACTTCAAAGTCTTTTGGCAACAGACTTGCATGACATCTGAATAATTATCTTAAATTCATGTGAGATTATGCAAAAAAAATCCTTCTTTACCTAAAAATATAATGATCCTTACTAGTTTTCTTCAATCTGTGTTTAGCCAGCAGAGAGTACACTGGCACCACCTAATGGACAATTTTTATTTTAACTAACATTTTAACATTAGAAAACCCCTAGAGTTCTAACAAATTCTAAAAAATTAAATCCTTAGATTTATATATTCCACAAAATACTTTCAAAGAAGGAAAGATACATTTTTAAATTAATTTGCCAATTTAAGAAATAAATGGCTTAGATGATTAACGATCCTGAAAAGGGAACAATCTGGATCAGAACTGGCAGAGGGAATTTAATCCCTGTTTACGCAGTGGAAAGAGATTTACAGGTACCATATAGGATTGTCAAGATAATATAAGTAATTTTGAAATGCACTATATAACTACTAAACATTGAGCAGAAATTTAAAACTTAAGAGAATTTAAGCATACCTGCTCTTTTTTAGTAAGTTTATCAATTTTTCTAAATTTTAGTAGCAAGTTGTTTGAGAACACATTTGCAAAAGAAAGAAAACACTGCTAACCTCAAGTATAGAATAATGTCCTCTTCCCAGTAATTGCAGACCATATGTTGAGAAAATTAAGTATAATATTGTATAATATTCTCAAATAACCAGGAGTATATATTGAATACTCAAACTATCCAGTATGTTTAATCTATGGAACACTTTAAAAATAAATTAAAATACCATTTCTGGTCTTATAATTCATTGAACATTTTGTTTGCTTCATTCATTCATACATATATTCCTGGTCATCTACAATCCATGATAAATATCTCTAAAAATTACATGTTACATTAAAAATCCATGCTAAAATAATGTTTAAATCCCAGCTTTATTCTGCTCCAGAGTATGTAAACAAAAAATACAATTAAAATAAGCACATATTAGCGGGGTGGGAGCAGGGAGAGAATGTGAAAAAGAATGTCCAGTTTCTAATGGCATTACCTTTGAATAGGAAAACTTGGTTAACAAACCTTTTATTGCACTTAAGCATTTAGCAATTTTCTGTTATATTGATGGGACTTAATATATCACAACAAGATAGTATACATAATTCGCAGAGAAAGCACATTGCTATTCTTTTGTTTTTGATAAAAAAGATTTACTTTTAGATTTCTCTGTGTGTGTGCTTATTTCTTCTTCCTTCTTCCTTTCCAGACAAGATCTAATAATATCATTCAGTTGCTGTTCACACTCACTGACATGTTGTAATCCATTTTTATTTCCTGAATGTAACAGAAAAGTATAATTATATACTGAAGCTTCACTCTTATTTTTTAACCAGGCCTAGATACAAAGAACTATCTTATATCTGCACACCTAGGAAAGTTTAGACATGTGTTCCTTCCATATCAAGCCCACTACAGCTGTCAAAATACATATTACAAATTTTAAAATTTTACAAGCAGTCTGGGATATGTAATAGAGGTTTTAAAAAGAAAAATCAGAACATGCATTCATAAGCAATTAAAAATAATACTTTGATAGAAATGCAGATACAAGTGAAAACTTGCAAATACTTCAGCAGTGTGATGTGTGAGGCAAATGAAGTTTTATCCTTGCCAATGTTCTTGGCAAGGCTTTGAGACATCTTCTAACAAATTGGACAGAGTTAAAACAAAAACAAATAGGAAATATTTGCCCAGAAACTGGGCATATGACAGAGCATACAGTAATTCTTGGGGGGTGGGAGAAAGGGCAGCAGTGCTTTTCTGAGCAATGAACTTTATCTATGAACTTCTAAAATAAAATTCCTTGTTATTGGAGCCAACTAAGGCTGCAGTCTTAAAATATTTACTTGAAAGTAAGTTCCTTTGAAATCAGTGGGATTTACTTATGAATAAACATGTTTAGAATCAATAGAAGAGTTATAATACTTGCATGCATGCTGGTACATATATTTTAAAAAGCAGTTACAAGTATTTAGACACATAGTAGGTATGGGGATACATTTTCATGGGACCAATTTCTCTGCAATAATAACTATCCATATTTTATTCTACGTTACCTGCACAGTGTTGAATGACACTTCCCCATAGCTTGTTCTTCCTTAAACAGCTAAGATTTCCCACTATCAATAAATGCCTCTTCCCTCTTGTCAGTGCCACATTCACTCTCTTTTCTGAATCTATGAAGCCAACTTGTCTTGTCCTTACACAAGATAAGACAATGATTTCCTTTTCTGCCCCTTGAAAAGCATCAACAGTGGACACCTGAACAGCTTTAATTTGTGAGATATCTGACTGAACAGCACCAAGTAAGTTAGAAATCTGCCAAGAAATCAGATTCAGACAGTGACATTTTACACTTTTGTAAATGATAACATGACATGAAATTATGTGTATCCATATATTCCATTAAAATACCTACTCATTCAAAACTTGCCCAGCTGACAGATTTGAAAAATCACAAATATTAAGGTTCCTTGTGCCTACCTACACATATTTGTACTACTATGACTATTCTACTAGATGAAAATAATGAAACCAAAACTGAGACAGACCAACACCCATTAACATATGCCTTTTCTTTTTTATTCATGAACCATGAGAAACTGCAGTAGTAGGTAGACATGTAATGCCAGAAGTGCCATGGTGAATCAGACCAGTGGCCCCCCTAATTCAGCATACTGATTCATATTGGCCAACCAAATGCCAATGAGAAGCCACAAGCAAGCCATGGAGCAACAGCATGCTCCTCAGAAATTACTGCTGGTACTGAAGACAGTGTATAGTCATCATGACCAATATCCCTTAGTACTGACACCCACAATTAATTTATCTAAGCACCTTTTAAGGCTGTCCTGGTTGGTGGCCTCACTGTATCTTGTGTAGTATATTTCAGAGTTTAACTCTTGGGTAATTCATTACTTTTGGAGAGAACATTTATCAGTTCAAATCTGGGTGATCTAAATAAGATTGATTTTTTTAATATTGAAGAAAAGTTCCTTGTTGGAAAAATGCAAAAGCACACTGAAATCTACATGTATTGGCCAATGTTTTGTTGGAATATATATTGGTGTATAGAACATACCTTGCTCATTTGTGATTTATAGAGGGTTATTACTCCAATCATAGATCCCTCTACTCCACTGATAATCAGAGACTGGATTAACTTGACAATGAAACAAGATTCTGCCATATTGTGGAAACTATTGTCTCTTTCCATCTAGAAAACAAGAAACAGAATTCAAACTATGCAGTGGAACAAAGCCAGTGACAAATCACTTAACTTGGTTTGGGCAAAAGACAAAATGTTCACAAATATTTATTTGGGTCTTAACATTCACTTTTAAAAAATCAAATAAGTATGGAATCCAACATGGATATCTTGATTTATAGACAGCTTATCCAACAGAATCCAACAGTATTCTACAAATACAATTTAAGTAGCTTAAACTTGAATGCAAAACAGCATACCTGCTCAAAGCCATTAACATTATAAAAACATAATGTTGGTAACCAATTCACAACAGGAGTTCGATCCAATTCAGAAATGCCATTCAACAGATTTCTCTCATAAAATAGTTCGCTGCTTATGGCAGAGATAATAGGATGACAACGATACTGTGTTCTAAGCAATATTGGTTCATGTCCCTATGAATCAGTAAGAGGAAAAAGGAAGCAAAAATAAAAGAAAGGATTGTTAAAGTACAAGAGAAATACTATAAACTCTTATTTCTATTATATTTTAACATATTTCAGGGAGTAAATTGAGGTAAGTTCTTCTGTATCACACCTACAGTTTCAACCAGTGATTTTGGTAAGACTAAGGGAATACTTTTGATGGCAAAAGAAGAAGGGGACAGCAGAGGATGAGCTGGATAGATGGGGTCACTGAAGCAGTTGGTGTGAGCTTCAGTGGACTCTGGGGGATGGTGGAGGACAGGAAGGCCTAGAGGAGTGTAGTCCATGGGGTCATGAAGGGTTGGACACGACTTCGCAACTAGCAACAACAAACAACAACAACAAGGGAATACTTGGAAAGGACATAATAAATCAGTTGAAACAGCAAACATCTAAATTAAGTAGGCAAAATTTTCTAAGGTTTGATCTATTTATGTACTCTTAGTTTTATTATTTTTATTTATATAACACATCTGCCCTCTAAAAAGGAAGGCAATCTGAAGAAAATTTCTGACAAATAATTAGATACATTACAGTGGTACCTTGGCTCATGAACTTAATCCGTTCCAGGACTCTGGTCGTGACCCAAATTGATCATCCCTGCATGCACCCATCATCCTGGAGCGCTGGGGTGGGGGGGAGAGACAGGCAGAAACAGGGCGCGCTGGGGGACAGAGAGACGGGTGCGAAGGGGGTGTGCTGGGGGAGGGAGAGATGGGCATGATCTCAGCCATCTCCCCCACTGCCCCAAGCAGGATCGTGGCCATCTCCCCACTCAGGGGGGTTGGGGAGATGACCACGATCATGCTGGTTGGGGGCAGGGGAGGAAATGGCCGAGATTACGCCCGTCTTTCCAGCAGGAGCGCACCAGTGAACACACAGCTCTTCCTGTGAACGCAACTGTGATCGTGGCCATCTCCCCTCTCCAGTGGGGGGATGGCTGCGATCTTTGTCGCCACCCAATGCGGAGTTCGTGAGCTGAGGTACCACTGTGTACCCCTGCTTTTCTTTTTCGATGAACCCAATGTGGCTTGGCTTACACAGTCTTCTTCCTTTCCACTTTTTCCTTGCAACAACATTGCAAGGTAGGTCAATGACTTACTCAAAGTCACCCAGTGAGCTTCACAGCTGAGTGGGAACTAGAGCTCACTAAGTTGCACTTCAGTACTCTAACCACACTGTTCCCCCCCCCGCCCCCCCAAGAAAGAGTCCTCACATATTGTAGATGGACATTATTCAGACAAAATATAAAATACTTTGCTCTTATCTTCAGTCAGAAACCATAAAGCCCAAACAGGAAGCAGGCAGATTAGTGTAACTATGTGTTGCTACATCATACTTCAGAGTCCCCAAAGAGAAAAGTTTGATTACACACGCACACACACACAAATTGTAAAAAGAATTAGTAATTATCACCAGTGAGTCATTCATGAGATATCTGAGGCACAGATAGTGTCTGTACTGAAATGATATGCTGGTATTCCTGGCCTAGTCAAGACACCATAAAAGACTCCTGAGTCAAGATCTCTTTTATCCTCATTCTGGAGTATATTAAGAAACATTTCTGTGGAACCATATGCTCTGCGCTTAACATTAAAATGAAAATCAAACCTATGTTGATTTTTCTGGGAAGATCCTTGAGAAGCTGCTGACAGGAATCCTTAATAGTGCTGGTGAAATTTTTCCACAGTACTATTGACAGGACTCATTTAGGCTGCACATTTGTCACATGTGTATTTTCATAGGAAATCCAAGAAGCGATCCAGCAAGTAACAGCTAGTTAACAACCTCTTAAGAAATCTTAAGTACTCTTAAGTATAGAATTAAATATATGCACTTAAATTATGAATGGAATTTTAATAGGAAATAAACATCTTTCCACAAAAAGCTGAACAAATTTAGTTAAGAGTTCTGCCGTACAACAAGGTTAGCATCACAGAAGTAGTGCCCCTTTCAGAAAGAATAGTAGTACATACCATTAAACAGAGTCTGTTAAAGAGGGTTTGCTCCAGACCATTATCATGTGCACTTTCAGACCCTTGAATGGTGGGTGGTAGCTGTTTAGGATCTCCTACCAGAATCAACTTTTCACATCGAAATCTACAAGTATAAACATAGTATTGGCCATCCTAAATTTCTTAGTTTAAAAAGTGATCCATCTTGCGGCCCTTTGTTAGCATCTGAGGTGCTATAGAATAGTCTGGATTCTGAGATCTATGGGGGTTCAAAATGAATGGTCTTGCTTCTCATTATCATAGGAACTGACTCCTGCCAAAGCACATGAAGCACCATCAAGCAACGTTGAGAAAACTAGGCTATAAAATGAACTGTTACTTCTCTTTCCCTGAAAGATGTCAAACGGTAAGCTGCCAAGTAAAAGCAAGTAAAAGCCATTGCATTCTCTGGATTCTGAGATCTGATGTAGGAAATAACTCTCTGATCCCCTTCCTCCACCCCTAGCAGCTAGCACAGAAAAACAACAACAACAAAAAAAGCCCATCAAGTGAGAAATGCAGTGTGTGTGGGGGGAATGGGGAGGCTAAGATAATCTCTGCTGCTTTCTTGCTATGAACTGGAAGACCATAAGCCTCCGAGTTAAAGAACGTAAAGTCACAGGATTGTGCCCTTACTATTTTTCAATCAAAGATTCCCATGAATCACATATTATGCTAAACTGTATTAATGTGCACAAATAAGTTCATCCCCTTGTCTTCTAAACCCAAATAATGTTACTAACAAGGCTGGCTGAAGCTACAAAACTACAAGGATACACGCTTTATTATTTTTAATGGACAAATTAATGATAAACACGCATAATTATTTACAATGCTTCTTTAGGCATGTCAGAGCAAAGGGGTAACTACTTATGAAACCAGCAAGTGTCAATTTGGGTTTTTTTTATTTAACTTTGTGCCAGAATAAAAATATTTCACAGCTTCCCAGTTTGAGGATCATGCATATATTGAGTAGTAACGATACTGATTAAATCAATTTCAAATCCAAGTTGCAACACAATATGTGCAAAAATTCATATAGGGTGAATACATCTTCAAGGTACCGTATCTCTGTGCTGCTCTGCTTGGAAACACAGAGCAGCTTACAGCATAACAAGACCAATACAATCAAAGAATTTAAAAATCAGCAATAAGTTAGTTTTGAAGAAAAGAGGCTTATACCTTGCAATAGGAAGGAGAGATGCAGGTTCTGTCATTTGACTGCACTCATCCAGAACCACTATGGGAAATTTAAGATTTTTCATGCAAGGGAACGGGCAGGCTGCACAGGTGGCTCCTACTACTCTCACCTATATAATTAGGGGAAAAACATAGGTTATTTAGAGACACCTGCATACCTGCAAAAATCACACAAATAACTTCCTTTTAAGCTGTGCAGTCAAAATTCACAGTTCCAAAGCTTAAACAAGTTACTCACACGTCACAGAAGGATAACTGATTTGCGATCAGGACTGGAGCAAGAGAAAGCGTAAGTTTCCCTCGTCTTCATGGTCCTGATCTTTTTCTACCCTACTACATTCCTGATTTGTTAAACCATAACAGTCACAAAAACGCTAAAGATGTGAATAAGGCACCATGAAAAATGTTATTTACTTTTTTAAAAAGAAACCAAAATTTGCTACTTTATAACCCAGGCTTCTTCATGATTCTGTCATCACTTCTCTCCTTTTTCCAAGAATCTGTAGCAGATTATGGAAACAAGAGTGCAATTGTTATATTAAACCTTAACATAACACACACACATATCTTCAACATACTTTTACACATAGGAATTGGCTGTATTCTGGCTGTGCTCACACATAATGACAAACCATACTAAAAACCATGCAGACATGGCTTATGGTTATGTATGAATTCCGCATCCATGGTGAACTGTGGCACATTTCCATGAAATCTGTAGTAAGGTATTCTACACTTCATCATTGCTTCTCCAGCTTAAGCTACCCACATGCACCACTAAAGAAGGCATGCCAAGACTTCAAGCATTAATATATGAGATACATTTTAAAAGAGATCCCTTCTCATTATTTTTATATCATCAAGAGTTATTTTGTGAATAATTTTATATATGCATATTTTAGTCCTCCATCAATGCAAAATAATCCTACTGTACTTATTAAAAATTCAATTTCACTTTATGAGTACCTGCTGCAGAAGAGCTTTGTTGGTACCCAGTTTATGGTGTTCAATGGTCTTTCTTACACAGATTTTTTCTGTTGGGGTTAAATCCTCTTTCATCAGGGCAAGCAATTCTTTCAGTTGCTCATTTTCTGGTCCTGAGCCAGCATGCAAGCTTTAAACATATTGTGCAGTCACAGTGAATAATACTGAATAAAAACAATGCAGCTGTATTGAGGTACATCTGTACAAAAGACCCTTCTGTTTCCATTTTAGGCTGATGTTGAAGTGCTGAAATGTAGGAGAAGATTTCCCAAGAAGAGAGCATCGTACATCATGTACAGAAGCTCAATGTAGCTCTATATGCAAACCTCATGAAAGGGACTGTCTGAAAGTTATAACATGTAAACCCTCTCCCAGCCGCCACTGTGTGTCCAAATCCTGCATGTCAATCTAGCTAGGTTAGAAACTATTTTTTTACAGGACCTTTTATATGAAAGGACATTCCAACAGTCCAGCACATCTGGTATATTTCTATTAAAATGTATCCCTATTTTTATTAGCGGTTGTTTGCAGAGTGGTGAATACAAATTAAACCAATGAACAAAATACAACAAAAAGTTAGGAAAATAAAACAGAAACAAGACAAAATGGCAAATAAAAACTATCATGCCCTAAATGGAAAAAGTTTGATAAGTAAAAATAATTCTGAAAATATTTGGAGACCATTTATTGAATATGTTTCAATAAAAGGAAAGGGGTGTGAAGCACTACAAGAGTCAATGCTGTTCTGGAAGGGAAGTGGGGCAACCTGAATGAATTAATGATCTTAGATTAAGTGACTTGATTTGTTGGTCCGGGTGGAGGTAGCACTGGTATTGTTGTATCGCTTAATTATGCTTATTACTAATGTTTAGTTATGTTAATTGTTATATTAACTGTATTGTTTTCATTAGTTTAATAAAATATTTTAAAAAACTAACATGCCAGATGCTTTGAAAGGCCCACATTTTCTGACTCAAAACGACATGTCAAGATGGCTTAAATTCTTCAACACATTATTTCAGGTTTTCAGTATACATTTTATTTCATTCATTTTCAAAAGCAAAGATAAGTAACAATAAATTGCTCTGATGGCTAAAGATTTTACCTGAATGGAAGAATTGGTTTAGCAATTTTCCTAATACTTCCAACTCTAATGAATTCTTCAAATCCAAGATCTAGAAGGCTGAGAATGGGAGAAGTAGCAAAACACAAATTGAGATGTATTAAAAATATTTTTAGCCATTTTATTTTGACCCAGTCTTTTCACATTTGTATTTCACTCATCCATTTTCAAATTTAAAAGTTCTTATTATTTAGTTATTTAAAACTTTTATATGCCGTCCTCTATGTGTGGCATCTCAGGACGGCTTACAAGCATTAAACATATGCAGACTCTAGGGATGTCAAACAAGGGTGTGAGGCCTCTACAAATTCTGGGAGAGATAGAGTTGCTGAGCATTGTTTCCTTCCATATTAAAGTGATTACAGCACTTTTTAGAGTACCCAAACAATGTTTTAGAAGAAGGAAGGGAAGACAAGCTACATTAGGCTATGCTGTAAGAGCAAGGGTATGGGAAGGGAGAAGTTAAGATTTAACAATGCAAATATAAAAGAAGCATAGAACATTATATGCATAAATGTTCTAGAACTTACCATAGCAATACTCTGTCTACAGCAACATTTGTAGAAGAAGAAATCAGTACTTTCCATGGCACTGATCTCTTGTCATTCATTGCTTCACTGGATTCAAAGATCTGCACCAGAAATAAGGTAACAATGGCAAGCAAATAACTTTTCCCAGATCCAAACACACCTGTATAATGGGATCAACATGCAAGTATTACAATTATTGCAGATTTTGAGAAACTGGATTTTTAAAATCAGGGACTTCATTTGAATCTGGCTGTAAATGGAATTCTTAAATCAAGGACTTCATTTGAAATTATATGAGACAATATCAGAGATATCTGGCAGTATCTTATACTGCCATTGTACTCTTGCTATTTTTTTGCACCTGCAGATGTTGCCACTTGTGCAACATTGATTTTGCAGTTCTAAGAGTAACTTTAAAAACAAGTGGAAAATTTTGGACTCAGATCGTAAGATTAGTAGAGCTCCCACTGACCAGCTCTATTTCTTAAATGAACTTTCTGCTCTTTTTGCCAAATAATAATGTGACTTTTTAGATGCATCACTTTTAGCCTTACTGCTATTGAAATGTAAAATGAAAGAAGCTTATAGTTAACTTAAGGGCCATGTTTAGCTTATACTTTAGCATAATGTGAATGAACCTTGGCAAGCTTCACACTTCACCCAATTCGTTTTTCACATAACCACAGTGAAGAAGTTGAAAACTTTCACTGTTCTTTTCTGTCTCTTTCTTTTTTCACTATCTGCTTAATCCCAGCTCTTATTGCTTTATTTGGATGAAGCAAAATGCCCTAAAATACTTAAAGACTGAGGTGATCTGTGTTCTAGTCCTCGCTTAGCCATAGAGCCAACTGAGTGAATTTGGGCCAGCCACAGTCTTTCAGCCAAACCTCTCTCACAGGGTTGTTGTGGGGTTAAGATAGAGAGCAGAAGGAGAATAAAGTAAGCGGCTTTGAGTTATTTAAAGAAAGAAAAAAGGCAGGGTATAAATCTAACGAATCAATATTTTTTCCAAAACTCTTCATCAAGTAATACAAAAAGTTTGTGTGTGAGCACATTTAGGTGTGTAAAATAAGAGAAAATTACAAAGGTCAAGCCAGATGCTGCCACGAGATCTTTAGCTTAAACTCAGTTCCAAGACAGAGAATGAAGCCTCAATGAATTTGTCACTCTTAGATGTTATACCTAGCATTCTAGGACAAAGAAATAATGGCTAATTCCCATTTCTGAAAACATAAAGGCTGGACCTGTCTTTTGCCTTGGGTGAAAAAAATAATTATTTAAGCTAAAGGGATGTTATAGTGCTGAAATGATTTAATTGGTTAAAATGATTAGGATTGAGAAGGAATATAGTTACTATAGTTGTTGAAATGCAGCTTCTAACAGGTGGAGACAGCCCTTGCATATATGCAGGAAAGGCTGCAAATAAATTTACACAAGCAAGTGAAGTCATGTCTGCTGGCACCCCCAGCCATGAAGCCTGCCAGGTGCACCTTAATAGAGGCGGTCTGTCCACTTCCTTCCCCTGAGAGGAAAGTCCACCATACCAGCAGCTGGAAAGGAGCAGGTGTATAACTGTGTTGCTCAGCCAACTATTTTACCCTGGATTCAAAATGAATTGCCTTAGGGATGTCCTTGTGAAAGCAGTTTGCTTAGCACTGTCAAAAATCACACTTTAAATGGAATTCTGAATTTTAATAACTCCTGTCAACATTAATAGCTCCTGTATATAGGGCAAGCTGCACACCTCCACTTTCTCAAGCATCTAGAAGCTCAAGAAAAGATAGAAAAAGTGCAGACTGAGAACTGTCTCAAAATTGTCTTCTGAACAAAAACTGAGAATTGTCAGCTCCATACATAAAAAGTAAAGGAACTTGATGCAAGAGGATCCACTGGCCACCCCCTATTAGCAAGCAAAGATCTTGTGGTTTTGCTTTTACTTGGCAACTTATCTTTTGACAACTTTCAGGGAAAGCAAATAGCAATTTAACTTATTTGTAGCCTTGCTTTCTCACTGTTCTTTGATGGTACCTCCTGCACTTTGACAGAAGACCATTGCCATGATACTGAGAAGGCAACACTATTCTTTTTGGACCTCTAAGTGCTCAAGCTGGCACCTTCAGAAGACCAATTTTTTAGAAAATCAGTTTGTGGAATTACAGTGTGTACAAAGTTCATGATCACATTTTAAAAATTCACAAATAGTCATTATTTTTAAAAAGGACACTTGTCTACTGCCTTAACTCAGCACAAATCAGGTCAAAGTATCATGTTGGCCTTTCTGTATATATGACACACACACTTACTGCAATAAAAATGCATTGTACAGATGAACAGACAAATCTGAAAGAGCGAGCATCTTTTTATCATAAGATTAGTCCTGATTCTAGATATTCACTATGCCTAAGAAGTTGCGGTATAAATAATAGAGGATTAAGATGGGTTATAGCAGAACAAATAGAGATGTTTTTTTTCCTGACAGGGGGCATGAAAATTCAGTTCAGCCCCCCAGATTCTGTTTTGCCAGCCCTGCAATATTCCAAACTCACTATGTTGCCATTTGAGATGGCTCACACACTTCCATCTTTAAGATCACACTACAGAGCATGATATGAACTAAACTGCTAGGGATATTTGCATGAAATTAGCTGAATCAATCTAAAAAGTCTTTGTACTATCCAGGTAATCCAAGCTGATTTGTACAAAGCATGCAAAATATTCTGATTTGCACAAATTGCATTAATTTAGGCAAATTGTGCAAGGTTACGCAAATTGGACAAATAGTGTGATATGGACAGAATTTACTTATGGTTGTTTAAAACACACACTGTGGCCCTTCTTACCTACAGAAGTCTAAGAAAAGAAAACCTGACTCAAACCACTTCTGACCATGGGAGGCAGGAATGCCTTTGAACTCAAACATGCCCAATTTTTCAGCATAAGCACTTACCTAAGAATAAAGAGAAGCTGGAAAAAGTTTGAGGGAAATAAAACAGAGATGAGCAGCTTTAATGGGAAGGAGGAAAAGTCACTGAAGATGATCCATTAAGCTAAAATGAAGGAGGACGTTTAGAAGTAAAGGACTTAAGTTCATATAAAATAATTTACCATGTATAACTTTTATAGGAGTGGCTTGCTGTTTTCCCATTTCTGTATCAATTTCTTTTGATGTCATCATGGCACCTATCTCAATCAATGCTTTAGCCTGATCCTTATTCAGATGAAATGTCTGAATCATCTTGTTTGCCAGATCTATCATACTTTCTTGGCTCAAGACTCCAGAATCTTCTGTATTTGTGTTTGATGCTGGTGACTTAAATTTCTGTTTCTTTATTCTGTTACTGTAAGATATGCTTTTGAAAGACCTAAATAACACAAAACAAAAGAAAAATAAGTATGTTTAGGCACAGAACAGATTAGATGATCATCTGAACTGCAGGCAGATAATTATCCAATGAAGTGCACGAGGAATGAGGCAATCCAACTCCCCTGCTCCTTCTCTTCTCTATTTTGGCTAGACAGCTATTTTTGCCCCTTCTAGGTGAGGCAGTTTGGAAGGGAAGGGAAGGGAAGGGAAGGGAAGGGAAGGGAAGGGAAGGGAAGGGAAGGGAAGGGAAGGGAAGGGAAGGGGGCTGAAGAGGACATAGGATATATATACCTTGGCCTCTCTAGTCTCTTTCCCCTCACCCCTCATCAGAATTTCCCCCGAGTTCCTGATCTCAGATAGGCAGTCAGTGCAGTTTTATTTGTGTTAGCTCCAATGGGAACAGGGGAGTTTGGAGAGTGGATTCCCAGATGTGAGGTTGGAGGTCCGTGAAGTATCCTGTGTCTCCCACATAGATGATGTCTGCAAGTCACTGGATCATCCTCTCACACTGCAAATCCTATACGTATTTACTTTGGAGTAAATCCCATTGAACTGAGTGACTTGGTTCACATATTGTAGCAGCAGGTCATGGGCTAATAATTTAAACACATAATTGCCAGTTTGCATGTAGTGTGCAAGCCACTTCCACTTTGCATAAAGACATTCTGACTGGATGTAGCTGCATGATATGCAAACCTAAAGGCAATGGGTTATTTGTGTGTGAAAGTGTCCAGGTTTGCATGTCATGCAATGATCTTTGATCACACTGATCAGAGGTTGCTTATGCAGAGTGGCTTGAGAGTGGAACACATCCCAACAAATCATGGGTTAATTAACACACTAATTTCCATCATACCCTATGAACCAGGGCAATAGAACTTATTTTTGAGCTTATAGATTTAGGATTGCAGTTTTAGCAGTGCATTTTATACATTTAAATGACATCTATATTCAAAGTTTTCAGTCAAAAGATTCAAGCAAAAATTCCATCAATAAATTCCTTCAGTGTGTTTCCATTTTTAAAATATAGTACAGGCTTTATGATTGCACATTCATCATGCCACATTCAAATTAAATACAAAATCCCATATGAATGTAACTATGCCATTCCTTTTGGCTTCTGCCAATGCGTGGTTAAAGAAATTTCACAAATAAATACATTACAGTTTAATTTTTTCATATTGTTAGTTTTCAGACAATTGCCACAGATGAAAGGCCAAGAAATCAGTGAGCACAAATTATACATTTTTAATATAAGGTCACTCCTTTCTGCACCATCTCAACTAATATCCCTGTGGAAATATCTCCACAGGGATATTAGTTGTAATAAACATGTCATGTAGAAAAAAATATACAGTTTCCAACATTTTCAAATCATGGAAGTCTGAAGATAAAAAAACCTGCAATTATATACAAACATTAACATTACATACTTTGCGAGTAGATGTTGCATTATAGGTAAACCAGCTGAACCAATGTTTTCCTCTATATTCCTCAAAGTTGTGAGTTCAGTGCTAGCATTACAAACTAGCAAGGCATGAACAATTGCTAGGGAGACACATCACAAGAAGAAGAAGTTACCAAATGAACATGGCTACAGGAAAGTCTGCACTTGTACAAATTAGGACCAAACTAGAACATTCATGCAATTAATAATTTTGTGACTAGCTTTAAAAAGGGAAACATGGAGGCATGAAGCTCCCAATATGTTTCAAGCTCCTGGTGGGCCAGCTTTGGGATGAATGGCTTTTATTAGGAACAGAGCCCTGATCCAGATTGGCATTCTGTCAAAAGGTAAGGAAGGTTTAACTATTTGCCCATCCATTCCCAGACCAAATTGGTTCCATCTGTATCTAGAGTTTGATCAGACAAGACTTTTAATGTGCCATTGCCTTGCCTTGCTTGCACAATTATGTGATCCATTTCAATAAAATTATCACAATCTTCAGCTCCTACATGATTTCCCACTGCTTAGCCTAGTTTTTTTTCCACAATGAGGAAAATTCATATTTTTGTCTTGTTTTGGCGCATCATAGTACCACAAAGAACCACTGAGGTGATCTCTGTTTTTTGTGGCATTTTTAGTACGGTAATGCGACAAAATGCCATTTATTATGTTACTTCTTAATGGGTCTGTATGTGTAGCACACTGTTGTTTCCCTTTGCACCATTTAATTTCCATTCAGTATAATGTCCATCCGCCATTTAATGTCCATGTTACAAGCATTGCCAGTTTCTTTTGCACACTTCTGAGGGCTACCGCCTTTAGAATACGCACATTTCCACACTTCTACCATAAGCATCTTGTGCAAATCTTTATTTTAAAAAAATGTGTGCACTGGTGAATTGACTCACCTGCATACATGCCCATAGAGAAAGATAGAAGTGGGAAGTGGACAGTGGTATTGGAGGGGTTGGGAAGAGGCAGCATACAGGAGAGATGAAAGGCAGGTATATGGATATGAGATTGTGCTATATATATAGCAAGAAAATTTTGGCAATATGGTAGATACTGTG